TTAAAACAAATGATTCATTTGTTTCTACGATTACAGTTCGTTGAATGTATTATAATTATCAATTCCTCGGGTTTACGGTAATAATATTTTTTTAAAGTAAATTTAATGTTAACTTCTAAAATAAAAAATTCATACAAAGAAAATATAAAATAATATATTATCAGATTTACGACGAACTCTCTCAAATTTGATCAATATGCAAATATCATAAAGAAATAGTGAACTAATTAATATAAAAATGTTATTAATTTTTAAATATAATGAATTTAATTAATAGTATACATAAATTTGTATGTACTATAAAGAATTTTAAATTTTATTTTATTTTATTTAGTATATATTTATTTTATATCATTTTGAACCTACTTTTAAAAAATTATATATTTATTAGCCAATATAATTAAATTAATTTTTTATTTATATTAGGAACAATACTGCTTCACATAATAGAAATGGCTTGTACAAGTTATTATACGCATCGGTTTTACTCGCAAATAGTTGCTGAGAAGTACATTTAAGAAATATCATACAGTTCTAATATCAAATATTATACATAAGAATTTACAATATGTTATATATATATATATATATATATATAACCATCTCATTCTATCAATATTTCATAAAAAACAATTCATAAACATTTATTCCGTTCATTTTTAAACTTATTTATATCAAGATGTACAATAAATTGTTACTTTCTCGGGTAAGTTACAAATAATAAATCATACGTATCAGAAAAACATTAATTCTTATATATATATATATATATATATATATATATATATACTTATTTATATTTCTATAAATATTTCTCTTTTTACACATTAAACATTTCTTATTTTTCAATAAAAATAAATTTATTTACTAATATTTTACTGTATAAGAATAATAAATAATTAATATTAGATATTAATATTAGATAATTTATAACGCTTTAATTATTCATTTTTTTTTATAACTGTCCTATATTTATAAAATTAATTTCACTTTTTTGTAATTTGTTTAATAATATATATATATATATAAAAATAATTAAGTTTATATTTTACCAAATACATATATTTTATCAAATTAATTAGAAAATTCTTTAATGCATTTATATTATTTATCATGCGATTATGCAAAATTTACTTTTCATGTTTTTATTCAATACATACATTTATATACTGTTTACTAATAAAAATAAATTAAAACCCTATTAGTTCTTATTAATAATTTGCATTATATTCTAAATTTATATTTTATATAACATTTTTCAAAGACTGTTCTGCATAAATGATGTTAACCTACAAACTATAAAATTATTTTTGAAGTTAATATAGTTTATGTTCGATTAAAAATAAATCAAAATATTTTGTATTCGATTTCAAAATATATATATTTGTCATTTAAAATAGAGAAATATGTTGTAAGTTTTATTATAAAATATAAATTTATGTTGAAATACATGAAAATATAGATTGTAATTTAAATAAAGACATATATTGTAATATAAATATGAATTACATATATTTTTAAAACATTTTATATAATTTATAATCAATGTAAAATAATAGATAAATTAATTCTTTTTGTGACAAATTATAAAATATTGGTAAAATATAAAATTTTATATTAAATGTTACTTAAATGTTAATAAAATCTATGTAGAAGTTAATAATATACATAAAATTTCATTATAAAATAATTATATTAGAATTATATTAGAATTATATTAGAATTATATTGTAAAATATTCATAAAAACTTTTAAATACAACTATCTCTATATTATCAGTGCAAATTTATATTTATACAAATTATTAAAAAAAACTTGTTTTACTTAAATCCATCTATAAATTAATTTATTATTTTGAAGGAAAAAATGCACTGTTAGATTTTGTAAACGTTTAAATTAGTCAAATAGAAATTTAAATATATATCTTCATGATTATGTATTTATTTTGATTGTCACATTCTATTTTTTACTTGTTATTAAATGTCAGATTACTTCCTTATGAATGATAACCCATTATCATTTTATATTACTAATATCATTAAGAAAACCGTATAAAATAGATTATCTAAATATAGTTAATAGATATTTTATTATAAAATTAATTTAATATATATGTATAATATATTCATATAATTTAAACAAAATTTGAGTTTTTACACATGAAAATAACTTTTGAAGTTTTTCGGTATGTACTAACAAAATTTAAAAATATTAATTCTTAACAGGTAAAATCACTAGCTAAATTTTATAATTTGAAATATCTTTTAGATTTTTTTATTTTTGTATTAATTTAGGAACTTTCAAGAAAATAAATATAAAAACATTAATTTATGGAATAAAGATAGTAATAGAAACGCTTCTTTTAGAAATTTGTAATAATCGTTTTAAATATATATTTTAAAATAATATTTACCTACAGTTTAAGATTTTGTTATGTTATTTTTGTATATACGTTTATTGATAAAATTATTATATAACTTGAATCTATTTCCTGTAGATTATAAATTTTAGAAATTTGATTAAATTAAATTATTTCGTAATACTTATTATTTAATGAAATATATTTTTTTATTATTTGCAAAGAGGAATTTCATTTTTAGAAATCTGTTTAAATCACTGCTATTATATACAAAACACGTTTTGTAATTACTTAATTTACACAAAAAAGCAATTAATTTATTCGTAAAAAGTAAATTCGTATAAAAATGAGTTTTCTGATAGATAAATTCTATTAGATGAACGTAATTTTTTATTTGTTTTTCACTTTGCCTTTTAATTTTAACTTAATTTAATGATACGCAGAAAATTAAGTAATTACGTATAAATTTAAAAGTTAAAATTTGTATGAATATTTGTACAAATACAGCTGTACAATTTCCCAATTTTGTTTTTAACAATAATCTCAGTAGTTAACAATTAGAAAGTATTTTGAATATAACAAAATTCATTACCATAATGAAACAAACTGTTTATTTGAGTGTGAAATTAATTATATATTTTTGTATTGCGTTGAATTTCTATATGTAATGTTTCTAGATTATTTAAAATAAATATAGCATTTGTACTCATTCTTAGATATTATTCTTAATATTAAAATGTTAAAAATCACAGATAATAGTTTCTAATACATTAAACACTGTTTTATTTTATTGTATTTACGAATTAAGATATATTAAATAAATGATTAAAAATGCTTTTAAAAACTTTTTCTATCGTCAATACAAAAACTGTCCAGCAGTAACTTGTTATAAATATCAAACTAAAATATATTTAACTTTTATATATATTTAACAAAATAGAAAGAAAATATTCCATCGGACTTTATAATATGTATTTGGCACTTAGAAATAATTCCAAACGTTGTATAATTTATATTTCTCATTCGATCATAGTTATTTTGTTATGTACAAACAGTATTGTATATATTCAATAATTAAAAACTAATTTTTCATAAATTCAAATATACTTGATTTTTTTATAATTTTAGACTATAGATCATTGTGTTCGGACATTCTATTTAAATGTATATTATTATTCAAATAAATAACAATGATTCTGTATGTAAAATTAAAATATAATTAAATCTGCATGTTATCAAATTATCATATTTCCAATATGCGGATTATATCCTGACATTAATATTATAATATTAATATTATGAAATTCATAATACACACTTAAAATAAATTTTGATTGTAAGAAATGCATTAGTAACTTGTATCTAAAATTTATTTGACATAAATAATATATTAACACTTTCTGTAGATTCAAAGAAAAGTATCCTACGCGTTGCTTGCAAAAATTAATCTCTAGAGATTTTGTGAATACTATAAATGAATTAAGTTTTTATGTATAAATATAATTATATTATAAAGTCATGAAATATTTAAAAATTCTGTAATATCTGCTATTATTTATTCATAAAGAAGTACGTATATAAATGAACCCGTTTAGAAAAATTAAAATTTTTATAATGTTAAATTATAAATAACGATATTTATATATATTATATTAATTTCAATATTTCCAAATCAACTTTTCATACTGCTAATGAAATATATACAATTGCTGTGATTTTAAATATAAATTTAATTATTGGGTCAAGTTATTTTTTAAATGTAGATTAAATCTTAAACATTTTGAATTAACATTAAAAAATTTTATTTTTTAATGAATTAACAAATTAAATATAAAATAAAAGAAATATAAGATATGTATTTAAACTTAGTAAATATTCTAATAATTAATATACTATTATAGGGTATATTATTGTGAGTAATTTTGACGAGCTTGGAATTTATTTTATCCAATCAGATTAAAAATCGTTATAATTTTAAAGTAGTTGTATAAAATAAATATTTATCATTTTATAATTTTGAGATATTGATATAAGGTAGAATAAAATATTTCAAAATAATTGAATTTCGAACACCTCAACAATGAAACTTGAAAATCATGAGCATTTTTATTAAAAAATCTTCAAAATTTTCTTTAGTTATTATCGATGAACTGTTTTATAATTCATTTAAAAAAGATATTACGTATTTTTCACAAAGTTTAGCTTTAGGGAAATAATTTATTAATTATTAAATTTACAAATTGAATAGGCATTTATTAAATATTTTCAAAATTCTTACTGCAGATCAAAAAATATTATTTATTCAAAAATTGAATTATATATCGAGATTCATTTTTGCAAACACATTTAATATTTAGTTAATAATGATTGAAAGTCGTGATATAATTTTTAATGTCCTCGTATAATAATTTCTTAAAATATTCTGAATTTTTTTTTTTTTCCTTCAATAAGCGCTTCTCTGATTCTTAATAAAATAAAGAAATAGTGATATTGAACATCGAATTTGTATTATTACCATTGGAAATATAGAGCAAAAACCATCCATTGAACAATATAAGTACTATTCTAAGAATACTGCTATAGCTGAAAATTAAAATCCATGTATTGTAAAAGACCAATATTAGTATATAAAATTGTATCTTTAGGTATCTTTTTTTAAATTTATGCTAGGAGGAAGACCGATTAAAGTAGAGCTACTTAATCTTGCACTTCTAGGTTCAATATTCAATGACATTCTATAGAGATCTTCTTCTTCCAATAATAATGTCGGATCCAAAAGATAATTTGTTACTTTTGTAATTAACTCGATTTTGTATGGCGTTTGCTGAAAGTGACGGATTTCACGAATTACATGTGCAATCTGAAATAAATTATAGAAAATTACATATATATATATATATATCGATAGAATAAAACATTTTTATAAATTTAATTTAAAATTTCGATAAATATTATTTAATACGATGTATCAAATTTTCATAAAACTCAAATAATTTTCATAAAATTGATTTTATATAATTGTCACCTCCTATAAATTTAAAACTTCTTTTTCTTATATAGTTTTTACTGTTATTATCTACAATAATAATATAAAATATTGTTTTAAATATTACCATTCTCATCTTAGAAAAGTTGAGGAGGCCATCATCAGTAAAATTGGGAGTGCCTTCCTCGATAAATGACAAGTCCGTAAGATATAAACCAAGATATGGAATGCAAGGTGGATCACATCGATGCAAAGCATCTCTTAAATTTTTAAATCTATGCTCAGATGAGACTATAATTTGCAATCTTTCAATAGTTTGTTTTGACTAAAATGCCAAAAGTTATTTATATATATTTATTAATTAAATTTTTTATTTATTAAATATTAAAAATCATAATATGTTTCTTAAAATATTTATCCTTAACTTGTAATAAATATTATTTCACATAATTAAAATATTTATTGTATTATACAATCAAAGTATAAATGAGTTGTTCAATCGGTATGGAAAGAATCTTTTAACGACATTTATACTCCGCTAGAAAATTATGTTTTGAATCTTATAAATAAAACTATATAAAAATTTATATTTTACTCTTAAATTTATTCAATTAAAGCCCGAAATAAATTGATAATTTTAATATCAGATTAATTTTATTAATATTAAAATTATACGACAAAATATTTGCGTTATTCAAAAGTTATTGTTGTCAGAACCAAATATGATTGAAAATAGTGGTTGTTACATAGTTATACATAGTAATATATATATATATATATATATATATATATATATAATGAAAAAGTTAAATAATAAAATATAATCATAAAATTCGTTACCTGTTTCGATACTTTTTCCCATGTCTTTTTTAGTCGAAAAACACTACTGCTTGTAAAAGCTGCACAAATTTGTAAAACTCCATTGTAATTATGAAGTACTCGACTTATATCGGCTACAGCTGTCCATTTTTCGATTGCAGCCACACGGGCTTGCATATTTGATCTACGAACAATTTCAGAAATTACCAACTGTGATACTTCATTAAATCTCTTCGTCATTAAATTTATATTTGGTGCTTTTATTGCTTTATCTGTTTTCATCCAAGCTTGCCCCAAAAATTCTCTATGAATATAAAATAAGTTTAACCAATTAAAATTACGTGTTCAATGAAATATAATATGTAATAATTAATTATTCGTAACTCCATTCAATTATAAATTTAATTACATACTCGCTTGCAATCGAAATGAAAATTTGATGATCTAAGTAGGTCATTTGCTCAGCTATTTCAAGTGCAGATAAAGATTCAATGTTTTCAATGCTTGGTAACTAAAAATAAAATAACATTAAAAAGAAGATTTTCAGAGTAAATATTAGCGTAAATCTAAATTAGTTCTAAATGCATATATATAGTTTTAGATCCATGAAATTAATAATCAATATCATATCATTTATAATCAATTTAATTAACACGAAAAAAATCTATTACGAATTTTGCAGTTAAAAATTATAGTAAGTCATTCAATTTAAACTATAGAAAATTTATTGTTATAGATCCGATATAGAGAAGAGAGATTAGAATTTAATAAGATTATCGTTTATAGATAATTATAATTCTTACTAAAGGTGGTTGGAGCAATTTATTCAGATCAACTTTATTATAGTTAGTCTCTTCTTTGGTAATTAATCGTAGAAGTTGACTTGCTGCTTTATGCTCAGCTGGTAACAGATTCGGACTGTAAATAATATCTTCAAGAAATTCAATAGTTAATTTTTTTAATTTAAAATCAAGTTCAAAATCTTGTGAGTGTTTAGATATCCAATGACGTAAAACATTTAAGACACGCATAGTTGCCGCAGTTGACATTACAGATTCCTTTCTACGACTCTTATCACTGTTGGAAACACGATTACTACTGTCGTCATGATGTATAATTTTATCAGGAGGATTGCTAGAGGCTGATGTCGCAATAGCGAATGCTGTTGCTGAAGTTGAAGTACTACTTCTAAAATCAAATATTTCATCAATAATAAAGAATGAATCTTTAAATTATGTAGAATAATATAGAATATAAAAATTATAAATTATTTATTCGATTGGAATTTCTAAAATTTAAAGTTTTAAAAAATCACTAATGATGAATATATTTTATAATATATATTTCGATAAAAATTTAAATAACCTTAAAAATTGAACAGTACTAACTATGAACCTCTATTAGTATATGTAGGTGTCAGGTTTGATGAGTGTATGTGTATCTGTATGCATTATTTATGTCGCATAATTAATTAGAAACAATACTGTAAAAATATCAATAGAATGAGTAAATCATATACCTTTATAAGTTAATAATATAACAAACCAATATAATATAATAATAAAGTACATAATAATATAATATAATAATAAACTATATAATAATATAATATAATAATCTACATAAATATTAATATATATATTTAACATAATATATTTAACAATATATACTAATGTGAAGCCATATAATATAAACTGTACAATAATATCAACATTATGTTTAACATATACATTATACCTCAACATTGTTAAGCTGAATTTTTGAGAAAATATTTACGTATATTTTAAATATGAAATTTAAACAATATTTAAGAAGATATTTGTAAAATTAATACTAATTCCTTATCGTAATATTTTAAAATAAAATTTTTACATTAAATTACAATATATATATATATATATATATATATATATATATATACATGAATGTAATTTATATTATTTTCTATTTCTAATTAGAATAACATATATTAAAATTTTTTTTAATGAAAACATGATATATGGAGATACATCAATTTAGTTAGAAAAACGCATAAATATAATTTGTAAAAGTAATAGTAGGAAACTCTGATTAGATGATTGCTTAAAAATAAGTGAGGAATTTTTGAAAATCAAATATAATATTATTTCTTTAATCAAATTAATAAATTTAAATGAATATATATATTAAGTGATTAAATTAATGACAAACCTTCGATGACTCTTACGAAAGCTGGTAATAACTACACCAGCTTTACTAGATGATTGAGGAATATTATGTTGATGAAAACTTTGTTTTTTTCCTAAATTTAGGTCACTATCTTGCGTAGAGCGTCTATTTATCCAATAATTCTGAAATATTAATGAAATGCACCATTTATATTCATCAGTAATTAAATACAGATTCAGTTTTCCAAAAATAAAGTAAAAATAATAATTATAAACATATATTACATATTATATTATAAAATATGTTTTATATGCATTAATATCTCTGAATATATATGCCCTAATCAAACAGAAAATTTTTAACTTATATTAATCATCTAATACTAGCTGTCTTACTAATGATCCACTTTTTGTAGTCGAAGAAGATACCGAATTTATGGATGCACGATGATTTGTATAAACATAATTCTGTGAATTACGGAATCGCGAGGACTGAGTAGGTTCAGAACATGTTATTATTTCATCTGGCCAGTCGCATTCCTTTTTACTAGATTCTGCATCTTTATTTCTAGATAAATTAGATGACGATTGCTGTAGTAAACTTTTAACATTAGTTGTTTCGCATGATGGAGGATAACATCCTTCATATGTGAATTGAAATTCTGAGAAATAATATATTGGCATATAATTAATTATAACAAGTATCAAAGTTAAAAGTATTTATAATTTCATTTAAATTACCATCGCTTATAATAGGGGTATCATCGGTATTTTTAGGATTACAATGTGAATATAGATATCCTAAAATTATAATAAAAATTAACATTAAAAGTATTTTTAACATATTATAATTCAAATTACCGTCGTTCACAATTGGTGTATCGCCAATGTTTTTAGAATCATAATGAGAATGTATATTATCTGTCCCTTGAAGACTTTTATCGGAGCCAGAACACGAATCTGATTCGACAGAGCCCACTAAAGTTACAGAACTTAAATTGCTAGGTGATGTGGGTGCACTAATGACTGTTATATCTGCGCATAAAAGAAAAACTCTAATGTTCTGAAATATATTTATATAAAACTTTACAACACTTAGCCGATATGAATTAATTATTTAACAAATAATAATCAATTTTTATACTACTATTTATTATTATATTTATTTTTATTATAATATGTATATGATTTTTAAACTATTTAAATTACGCAAATTTAATTCTTGCACAATTTCATTTAAATATAATTATTTCGCAGGAATCTGCATAGATAGTAATATGGGCTTCTGCATATTTGCATTATAACTATAGTATTATTTATGAAATATTTAAAGAGTAATGTATAAGAATATTTATAAAATATTGTAATAAGCTGATTATGCGATCTGAATATTAAAGAATAAAAAATAAATTATTAGAAATCAAACTCAAGAAATAAAATTAACTATAATAATAAATAAAAATTTTATATAGATCTAATGATAAATTTACGTAGATATTATGATTATTAATTACAGAATTGTTAGGAAAAATGTACCTGAAAGAGTTTCTGCACTTGAAGAAACAGCAATCTCTTGAGGAATGGTTAAATGGAAATTATTATTTTTTACACTGTTATTATCACTAATACAAGTATTAACTTTTTGTAGAGATTGATCAGTTAAAGTAATTTTTTTTATCTCAGAAGTCGAACTATGGTTTATTTCAGAGATTAGTCCCAATTGTTGCTCTTCTTTAAGAAACAAATTTATATATATTAATTAATACAACTAAATTATTAATACAAACATATTAAGATTTAATATAATTTTCATAGAAATAAATTATGTATTATTAAAACGTAATACTAAACAATAATTTTCCAATATATATATATATATATATATATATATTGTCTACAGATACACTACATGCGTCTAAAATACTGATGGCTTAGGTAATAACAATAAAAAAGTTTTTTTTAATTTAGACTGTGCAAAATAATTTATAACTAAAACAAAAACTTATTAATCTAATTACATATAAAATGTTCATATTAAATCTTAGAAAAATAGAGATAGTTTAATATTTTCTATAATAAATTTACAGTTAAGTATTTATCATATTATTAGAAAAATAATTACCACATTTAACAAACAATATACTCATTATATCTTACGTATTTTGTAGTTATTCCGACAATGTAACTTTGTATTAGGCGTATAATTACTGGAACTTGATTCAGTTATACTATAGTTACCCGTTTCTCGATTTTCGCTTACTTCTGAGTCATAACCTAAATATGGAAATAAAATTAAACTAGATTTCTTCTGTATTGTAATCAATGTATTATAAAAATGAATATATTATATCAGTAATAAGATTATTCTTAAACATTTCTAAAGTATGATTTCATGAAAATATACTTAGTGCATTAATATTTTGTTTAATATACATATTTACCTGAAACGGAACTAGCACCACTTGTTCTTCGTAAGGCTGAACTGTTTCTTCCTGGATCATCTAATAACTGTTGTATTTCTCCAGCATTTACTTCCGAAACATCTAATGATCTAAACAATTATTTTTAGATGATGAATCATGTAATAAATTATGATTAATATATTTTTTTATATAACATTCAATAATGCGAATAGTGTTAAAAAGTAAAATCTTTAATTAATAACAACAAATTTGTACATTAAATTCTGTTAAAATTAATATTTAAACAAAAATTTTATGATTTTGTTTTTATTGTTATGCTTATATATAATGAATCTACACTTATTAATCTATACAGATATTTTAAATATATTTAGTATTAATTATAGAATTAATAATATTATTATATTGACCAAATTTAACTATTTAATTATTTAATAAATTCACGATATTAATTGATAAAATTAAAAATATAGACTGACGCTATAGAACCTCTGGAAATTTGAACATCTGATGGCTCGGAATCATAGAAAACTTTTTTCAGTGCTTCAAGAACGGTAATTCCATCCGTAAAAACACGATAGGTTAACAAAAACGTATTGAGAAAGTCTATACTGAGAAATCGCAAGTCAGTAAGTCGTTGTAATAAACGATCAGGAGTTGCATAACGAATTTGTGGCACTTTACAAGAATTGAGTGTGCGACTAAAGCGTATATCTGTATCATCCTTAAAAAGTTTGGGATCATTCCTTATGGATTGTGGCATTATAATGGAACTTGTATCTGATAAAGAGCCATGTAACAAGCCATTGAAATGTACATTGTCCATACATTGACTTAGGTCACTGATCCAAGCAGCTTTTTCCTGAAATAATATAAAATTGATGAAAATGTTATTTCGCATTGAAATACGATATATTTCAATAAAATTTAATAAATATCTTTAGTTTTTACTATAATCTACTGTATATTATGTAATGTTTTATAGTTAAACTGACTAAACGTAACTTTTAATATTAAAATCGAATTGATATTCTAAGATAAACATATTCCATTAGTAATTTTCAATAATTTATGAAATATTAATATCAGGACCACTAATCAAAAGTGTGTTCGCTTAAGAACATTAAAAAATAAATCAATAATTCTGACTAATTTTTCTAAATTAATCTGTGTAAGAAAAATTTTAATTAATATCTATTCCATATAAGCATTTTTCTATTACACAGCAAAGAAATCGTAATTTTCATATAAGAGTCATTATTATATAATATTACGCTTTGCAAATTTTTAGTAATATTTTATACCTGCATGGTAGGTGCTAGGAGATGAATAATGTATTGTCGGTTATCGCCTATAGTTTTTAAATCAAAAATTATTTTAAAATCGCGATTGAGTAGTGTATTCGAAGTTGATGTTGTCGTTGTTGTACTACCACTTCCACTACTCTCACTAATCCCACTAGACATAGAACATACTGATAATTCTGAAAATGTATTAAAAAAATATTTTTATATTCAGTTATCAACGGTTAATATACTGAAATAATTAACAACTAGTCGCGATCCAAATTCAAAATAAAATTTTTTATTTCCCTTTAGTTTATTAATTTATTTATTAATAAATTTATTCATTTAATTATTAAATTACAAACTTTTCTAAATTATATTGAAGGAATAAAAATACTTATCAAATAATTATGTAAATTTCTATGTTAATAAAAAATTCACCATCATCATCAGCAGTACTTTGTTCACTTGGATCTTCTACTAAAACTGCATCGGAAAGTGGTATTTTTCCAATTTGCGGTACGAGATTTAGTCGACCGTCATCATCAGATTGACGTGTAGTTAATATTAAATGATTAGAAAAAAGAAAGCACTGTCTTAACGTCTCCTTTTCTAAATTTTTTCCTCCAAATGTGGCACTAAATCGTTTGCGGGAATTTTTTGGTTTCTCTGAAATTTGAATTAATGTTCCTGCAAAGTAAATATTTTTAAGCTGTGCTCTTTTATGATAAATTTAATTTCTGTATTTAAAAATATTTTAATGCCTTAATTAATCAATAATTCCATATTTAATTATAACTAATCGGAATAACGAAACTATAATAACTTTATTATAGTAATTTATTGAATAATGACATAATCTATATATAACCATGAATATTATTTATAAAATAATTACAACAAAAACATTTATCTTTTAACTATATGTATTTTTATTATGGGTTGCCCTATTTTTAATATTGTAATAACTAAATTCATAATTAATTAAAGTGTATAATTCTACAATAATTTTTTAATATAGTGTTTTTAAGGAAGGAATATAATATTACAGAATACAACATTTGTATGTAATTAATGTCACATGAATTAATTATGTTAATAATATGTTTATAAATACCTAAGAAAATTTAATTGCTTTCTGTAAAACATCAACTATACGGCACCGTAAAAACTATTAAGAACAATCATTTATCAAATAAATACTTCATTTATATATATATATATATATAAATATATATATATATATATATATATATCCAAAACACTTGAAATTACGTACAAATCTTCATACTATCTTATTCACTAATGTAATAATAATAATTTTATTAAGAAGTTAATACTTATTATACTAAAATGTGGAAACTTTAAATATTAAAAAAAAATTTAATATAAAATTAAATCGTACCTTTTATGGAATTACGCTTTATATTGATAAATAAAATTTATGGTCCCCAATAGATATATGTACAATACACAATAATTGAAATATTTATAGTATATTTTCATCTTCCTTCCATTATTTGTTTTGGTCCCTTCTCTATATCTAAATATTTTATATATTCTTCTTCCAACTATAAATTTGTTTAAATCCATCTCACTCTGCCATTATTTTCATTTATTCTGATTTTAACGTCTGTTATATTTCATTCGGATTTTATTATTTCTCTATTTAAATTTAATACCTCTAAATCTAAATTTAATATCTATATAAAAAATGAGTCAGAATATATAGATTTTTCTTTATCTTCTATACCGCCACTATGTATTTATGTCAAATATAGTTTATTTCTAAGATGTAGTAAAAATTTGTCATTGTTCACTCATTTATTAACATTTTTTACTTACGCTAGCACAATTGAACAATTTAATAATTCAACAAATTAATAATTCATTTTCTAACGCACTTTTACTAATTTTTCTACGTATAAAATATATTATGATAAAAGATAAGAATATTTTATATAAAGGCACAACCGATGAAAATACTTTAATTGTGTTCATTTCTAAAATATTCATGGAAACTTCACTTTCTATTTAATACTTTGTAGCATTAGTTTAAATAACTTTATTCATAAAATATATATAAATACGGAAACTTATCACTATTAATTTATTTATTCAGAACTGAAAATATAATAAAAAAACGAGTAAAAGTTCTTCTCTTATTCGTAATAACCTGACGATGCTCTAGAGAAAAATAATGTACATTCGTTCAGGGCTGTATGTATGTAACGCCAATGCCCTGGTGTATCATTAGCTTACATTATATTCGACTATTTGAATGGCTCACAAGGTTTTATAAATCATGAATTTATGTATCATACATGTTACAATAAATCATATAAGTTGAAATTAATTTTTTATGATAATTTATTTATTTATGCTATTGTGTCAAATCATAATATAAAAATAATATTGTTTTATTCAACAATGTAGTTTTAAATACATATTAGGTGAATATATAAAAGTATTTTTATAAATTTTTTTCATAATAACAATAAATAATGAAGAAGAAAAAAATAATAAGACATAAATAAGTAGTATAAATATATTAATATACTTTGATTGTAAAAATAAATAACTTCATATTATATATGAACAATATTTATTAATGAAGCAAACAGGAATAATTATATTTTAATTAACTTTTAGATATAAGTAAAGATATATAAATCACTTAATTATTTAGTTAATAAATTCCCAATTATAATACAAATCAAGATACTAATGCTAAATAAATTAAAAATAAAAATTTTTACTTAAATGTTAATAAAATAACAGACTTAATAAAAGAAATAAATTTAACATCAATGCCAAATTTTATGTAATTAAATAAAGTTATATATACGTAATAATTTATAAATTATAATTATTATATTTATTTCTATGGTAAAAATATATATTTACTCACAAGAAATGTATTGGAATTAATTTTTGTAAATAATATTATATAAACTTTATAAATCATAAAAATTTGTTATTTATTATATTTCTTGTTTTTCAAAATAATAATTCAAAATAATGGCTGTATGAATATTTTCAAAATTGAAATGCCCGTTTTTGAGCCGTGCCTGAGAATTCTGGTTATTTGTGCGCACTCTCGGCAAACCGGCGCGATATCCGAGATACACATACATAATGATCACGAAGCGCCGCTATCCCGTTTTAAGTGGCGCACAATCGATTTGGTCAGGCAGCGCGCTTGCGCACCGTTACGATATCCAAAAAGTGAAAAGTATTCCCCACATCGCCGATAAAATGAATTCCAATCATTCCAATAAATCAGAACATTTGGAACCGGAATTATTACAATTTTTATCTGATGACTAATTTACTTGCTAATTTGCATTATGGTAAATTAAAGAATATGTCTTGTTACTTTTATGTAACTATTTAATATTTAAAATCATAACTGATCATTACATCATTCGCTTACTTATAGTTTTTCACAATCACTTTTAATATAGCTTCTTTTTTTTTATAGCAAATGATGTTTAGAAAATTTTTATATTTGGTTGAATAATATTTATATTATAAAATGTATTGAAGTGTCTTTTATAAAGAAAAAAAAATTATTAATAAAAATTCAGTTTATATAAATAATAAATCGTACTAATAAATTTAGTTATTATTATCGAATAATGTATTTTTATGTATTTTTAGCTTTATTGTTGTTATAAAAATTGATTTATGTAATTAAATTTTTAGAAAATTATAAGTATGTTTAATATACGTATAAAAAATGATAATATATAAACTATATTTTCTTCAACATATATACATTAATTAAATTATAAATGAATTACTAATAATTATTTTTACCTTGACGAACAAAAACTTGATTCACGTCGAGTAAAATATCACAACCTTCAACAATCATCCTTTCAACAGCCAGATTTTTTCGTAAATTTTCCGTTTCACTGACCTAAACAAATAATTGTTCAGATCAACAAATTTATTCTAGTTTAAAAATAATTTTATTGCCATTTTTATTAAAAAGCAAGTCCTAATAAAAATACCTCATCGTGCATCTGCCTAGATAAATTTTCTAACTGTTGACGCGCATTTTGCAAACTTTTACGCTCTACATGATCATGTGGAGTATGAGCTAAAAGTTCATGCAAGGTAATAATGTATCGAGGGATCTGAAATAATTTTTTATGTGTTATTAGCTACGTTCTGTATGGCACTGAATAATTTCTAAAAAAAAAAAAAAATAGTAATAAAACTAGAAAAATTATAAACAAAATCATATTTCAATATGAAATTTTAACGAAAGTTTTCAAATATTTTTTTAATAAAATACATCAAATAATTTGTTCTTACAGTTATTTCAATGTTCCATTGATACCGCTTACTTAACGTATGTAAAGTTAATTTTGAATTTCTATTTAGCAAATTTTGTCTATTTTTAAAGAATATTCGAACGTAGAAACTAATTTCGAAAGAAATTATATATAAGACAATAATAACATTTAATAAATCTTAAAAATATGTTCAATCGTTTGTATTAATTTTATTGAACAACGTTAAATGTTTTTTACTTACGTAGAAAGAACATTGTGTATAATTAAATGTAATCAAAATAATAATCAAAATAATTGATCTATCACTCTGTAATAAATAATTGATATATTTTTTAATCTAAAATTTCGTATAATCATAATCATTGAATTAAATAAGCTTCATTTATATACATCAACTTAAACATAACAATTTTTTAAATATAAATGACGTAAATTAATTTATTAAAGACTTCATTAGTTAAAGATTATTTGAACTATTTCTATTATAATACATAATATGTATTAGATAATTTTTATTTTTATTTTCTGCAGCTTTAATTACTTGTGCGTATTAAACGTATTTCTATATTACTACTGTTTTTAATAAGAAATAGAATGTATGTTTCGAGTATTTAACTGAGATAAATTAATTATTTACTTGATGCATCGGATAAGTGAGAAACATTTCAAGTGATCTGCCATCGCAGACAGTTTTAATTTCTAGGCGAGACAGTAAAGCAGAAAATTGCGAAGAAGATTGTTTACATTCGGTTAATACTTGGAGACTATAATGATGATTTCGTACGTATTCTTGATAAATTGACAACATTGGAAGTAGCATATCAAACAAATCACCTATAAAATAAGAAATTTAAATTACTATAACCTTATCATAAGTACAGTTTAGTGCAATTGTAATGTAGTAATTGATACATAATTTATTTAACATATTGTAATTAAATAAAACAATTGGAATAAGCCTTCATAGATTCAATAAGAATTATGAATTCCTAGTATTAATTTGAAGTTACGTTAAGAGAAAAATATTCTATTCCAAAAATAATATTATAATTATAAATTTTGTTTATTCATATTATAAATAATGTATTATTATAATTAATTATTTAAACGAATATTAACATTAAAAAAGTAAAATAGTTACCTAAAACTAACGTAGGCCAATTTTCCATACGAGAAGTTAAGCCTTTCAAAAATATTTGATGTAAAAATAACACTGTTTCGCTATTTAAAAATATACTATTAACGTCTTCGTGACTACAGGGTGGTTTCTTCGAACTTGCAGCCATTTTAAAAGGCCTTAAAAAGCAGCTTACTAATACTTCCATTTGCTCAGTATATTCTTCTTCTGCTTCTACCATTTGAAACACAAGACTGAAATAAGATAATTTACATTACCTGAATATCACGGTATTATATTTTACAAGAATGCAATATGCTTTTTTAATCTTTCGATACAAATAGGATTTTTGTCAAAAGAGAATTAAATGTTCTTTACTCATTTACTACTTTTTCACGATAAAAGAATTTATATGTAATTATTCTATAGCTTGAATATTTTTAACATTAATTAGATAAAATTTATATGAATGATATGCTAAATCTTTTCGATTTTGATAGAAATTTTTTCAATACTTGCAAACACAGTGAAAATATGTTTATAAATCAACATATAATTTCATGTTCTTTTAAATTTTTATTTACATGTTCAAAAGAACGGTCATCAGGATTAATATTATATAAGATAACCTGCACGTATAAAAATACAAATATATAATAATATGCGTAAGTATCAATTACATATATATTCGTTGTACATATTAAAAAGCAATGCTGTGCAAAATTGATACAAAAGCAAAATTTGATATGCTCTTATATATTTATTAATTTAATACGAATTGTATTAATTACGAAAAATCAGTCATAATAAGCAGGCAACGATAAATTTTATGGCTCTCTTACTGAAACTGAAATAATATATCAGAGCAGAATATTTTACCTATTTCTTTTTCTCATGCTTTCGGCATGTGGACTTTTAATATACTGTTCGACAATTTGTTTCCAGCGGCGTCTGCATAACCACCCTCTAAAAAAGCTTTGGACTTTCTTTATTTTTTGCATTTCCACACTACCTTCGGAAATACTGTCGAGTCCGATAGAATGTGAACTGATTACACCTGAAGTTCCATGAGACCCATTGCCATAAAGAGAAAATTGACTTGCAGTACTATCATTAATTAGTGATTGAGAAGAAATTCTTTGAAATTTTCCATGAAATGATTCACCGTAACTCGTAATGAAGTTAGGTTGAAACTCTTTCTTCAATGCAGACAACTAAAAAAATTTCAGATAAAATTAAATACACGTCAAATTAGAAATTGTTGAAATAATTTTTTTTTATGAAACTTAATCTCATTTTATGAAATTTTATATACTCGGTAATGGCATTGTAATAATAAATTCGCTTAAACTAATGGTAATGAAATGCTTGTGGCTATTCTAATTTATCTAGTATTATAAATATAAAGAATATTATCTAATAGTAATGTATAAAATCATTAACATATAAATAATTATATCCATTAATCGTATACAACGGTTGGACTTACATAAATAAATTTAGTTGCTTTATATAGGCATTTTACTGGAATTTATTTTCATTCATCTATTATTATTTTCATCATAATATATTCCCCTATTCTAGTTACACCTATGAACAATATATCAGTCAAATCATTTTTTCAATCTTTATTTGAATTTCTAGTTTTTATATTACGATATTTAATTTAATATTATTTTATTTAAAATTTATTAATTATAAAACATTTATGTATGCGAAAAAGTTGTATAAGAAAAGAAAACAACATCAGGATTCAATATGCGTTGATTTAATAATAATTGTTTCACATATCGAAACTATTTAAACCGTAAACTTCTATTCCACTGCAATCTAATAATTATTACACGTATGAAGCCAGAAATATATTAGTCGACAGTAAAGAACGATATACATATTTTCATTTATTAAAGTTATTTATACCATCAGAAAATGTGTAGCCATACACAAACAAACAAACAAACAAACAAACAAACACACACACACACGAACAAACAAACAAACAAACAAACAAACAAACAAACAAACAAACAAACAAACAAACAAACAAACAAACAAACACACACACACACACACATGTATATATACATATAATATATACATAATATATATATATATATATATATATATATATATCATCAAGTCAGTTCCATAATAAACAGACTTTTGCCACCAAGGCATAACTCACTTGTGACGTGACATTTAATTAAATACTTATTTTCCATTAAACAAGAATTCTGAGAGGTCATTCTAAATAAAAGTCCTAGATCTAATAATTATCATATATATATATATATATATATATATATATATATACATTAGTTACAAACCACAATGAATAATTATCATATCTTTCCGTGAAAGAGAACAAATGCAATTTATATAAAATAATAAATAATGTGATATAGAATGTGTATTAATAAGCGAAAATTATCTAAATGGCACTCAAATATCATTAAAAAAAAAAAAAGATTTATTCTTTTATCCCTTAATAAACAATTTTATACACATAATAGAATACTGAATTTATCAAAATTATTTTATATACATAGTATAATATATAAATATAAAAATACAAATATAAAAATATTAGAAAAATAATTTTTTATATAAAGGTATTTTATTAACATTAAACTTTTTATATTACGTTGATTTTATGAACTATCAAAAAAGTTATAATTATTGGATACAATGATAGTAAGAGAATATATATATTTAAGTTCTCGCAAATAATTGCAAAGGAGACTAATATAAATACTTATTTCCTATTAATAATTATTAATAATAAGAAATATTATTTCACACTTAATGTTTTATCATTGAACAATCATAATACGAAATTAATCATACGATTTATAATCAAGATCATATGCCAACCTCAGCTCGGAGTTTCTTAATTTCGGAAGTGAATTCGTCACATTGCTGTGTATATTGCCATTTTGCCATTTTTTCGCTTCGAACAATTTCTAACAAATGTAAATGCTTTTGCTCAAGTTCTTCTTTTTGAAGAAGCATTTTATTAAAACTGAAAGAATTGAATAATTGTTAATGTACCATACTAGATAATTTCAAATTGAATTATAATCCGCCAAGTCAATAATATATTTTTAATTATGTAATGTTCAAATTTATGTTTCAATTCACTGTATTTTTTATATTAACAGCAGTAATAAATAATAATCACTATATCTTTAATACATATTTTAATATTAATTCTTAGATATTAAAAATGTCAAAATATTATAAAACATAATTAAAATATTTTTATGATTTTTTTAATAAATCTATTGGATTTTACAAAAATTTACGTAAAATTCAATTAGTAGATTTAACAAATTTAATTATCCTAATGATTATTATAAAAAAATTATAAAGATGTATTTGTAAAAACTTGAAAACTGTTTGTGAATAATATATTGCCATATATTTTTAATTGTTTAAAAATTATAGTTATTGCTTGTATTTTTGTTAAATAATTACACTTCTGATAATTATAAAAAAAATATTGTGCAAATTAAAAAGCATAAATCGATTTTGAGAATATCTAAGAGACGAAAAAAAGATAGGATATACGTAAAATAATTATACCTTGCTTCTGTTATAGCATCGATCCACATTTTACATTCTGCTTCCGTAGCTGATTTTAATTCATACTGACGTTGATTTTCTTTCCTATATGAAATAGCGAAGTATATCTGTAAGTATAAGAAATAACAACTACTACAATAAATAAATGAGTAATAAGTAAATGTATTATTAATATAATGTAAGGTAATGAAAAACAAGTTATTGATTAATATTGATAGGCTTGTAGATAAATGAAAAATCACTATTAATATTGTAACTAATTAATTTATTATTTACAGACAATTTATTTACTAATTATATTTAATTATTTCTAATTGGTAATTAATTTTAGATTTTATTTTATTTCATTTTTAATTAGAATAAAAAAATTATTTACTTATAAAATAACTTCTAAAAAAGAAATATTACAAATTTCACTGTTATGTATAAATAATTATTTTATGTCTTTTCAAATTTAGACATTTATACAATTGCAAAAAAGGATAAAATATTTTAATAAATACAATTTAATTTAAAAATATTTATTAATAAAAAAATGTTTAAATTAGTATTTTAATCGACCTACAATAAAATGCACAATAATCTATGCTTATTAATTTCTAATTTTTCTTTGTCAAGAATTTGTATAAAAGATTATATAAATAGATAATTGGTTCTACATTTAATACCTATATGACTGATCAGCATATATATATATATATATAGAAATTTAAAATTGGAAAAAAATTGGATTATAATGTTTCCTAATGATTTTATGATTAATTGTTTTCAGAAAAAATAATAAGTAAAATAAAAGTAGGTTTTTATTTGCTAAAATCTGTATGCTAGCCATTCTAATCTTGCCGTATCCGTAATATTATAAATGATAAATTTTAATATAATTTTATTATTTTTAATAAATATTAGTAAGTTATTTTTCAAATATTTAACAAAATTGAAAATATATTTTCTATATAGTATCAGATATTTTACAAAATTATCATTAAATAAAAATATACGAATATTGATTAGAAATACATAATGCTCATTTCAATAGTATCTAGTTAACTTTAATTGCTTTAAGGTAACCATTGTGAACCAGCCTATAAGTGTGTTAGATTAATAACAAATGTCATTCAGTAAGTTTCACTGATATACTTTATTAATATTTATTAGAATTAATATATCAATTAACAGAACAAATTCATTCAAGCATTTAATCAGCATATAGACGAGTAAAACTTACCTGCTTATCAGAATCCCTGCCTTTAACAGTAATTAAGCGATTACAATAGCAACCTTCAAGTAGAATCACACCACTAGGTCGAGAGCATGAATCGTTGTCATAGTAAAAAAGTATATTCTGTAAAAAGTTGGTAAAGAAATGATTAAACTTCGATAGATATAAAATATTTATAAAGACAAATTCGTTGTTTAATATACTAAAGCTTATTTATTTATCAAGTTTTATACTGAAATAAACTTTTTAGCCAGATATAACTGAACAACTTGAACGACTTACACAGATACGGAATTGATTAAAAAAAAAAAAAAGATAATTTTTGGTAATTCAACTATTAAATAATTATTCAGAAATTCTTACTTGGGTATAATATATTTTATGACTAATTAAAATATTTTAATGATGTATTTATATAAATGTATGTGTCTTTATATATATATATATATATATATATATATATATATATATATATATTTCTATGTTTTTGTTTATTATTGAGAGCATTGTAATTTCTTAAAATATGTCAAAGTTTTCAGATTATGCCATTTTAATAAACTATTTATTTATTTGTTCGTTGGTATCTAACAAAATTATTACATTTTGACAAGTAAAATAACGAAAAATTTTAAACTACCGAATTTGATATTATTATAAACAATATTTTTAATTTAATTTAATTTAATTACACGTTTAAAAAAATGTAAAATTAATATTTAAGTACGCATTTGAAATACAATGGAAGGTAATCAATTTAAATAATGAAAGAAACTTAATAGTTTTTGGTATAATAAATTGTTCACGATAAAAAGGTAGTACATTTAGACATTAATGCATGCATTGATATATTAATACTAATTGTTAAGTAAAAGTCATTACAACTCGCACATTGTATATATTGCTCGATAAGAATAATTATAAGACAAAATATTAATAAGAATATCTCATACTATCTATACCTGATAGAGTACGAACCATCGCAATTGCCACTTAGTTAAATCAGCAGTTCTCTTGTGCAAATAACCAGCTAGCGAATGATCATAGTGAGCTTTCTCCGAAAGCATTATCAGTTGCGAGTCGTTCACTCTCACTAAAAATTACGTTAATTAAATCTTTAAGTTTATAGCAAACTTTAATATTTTAACATTATACGACCATCATACAATTAAAACATAAATATACATATATATTTATATATATATATATATATATATATATATATATATATATATATATATTTTCCATATGTACTTTATTATATAAACATAAATATATGTATGTAAGAATAAATTAATAAGTCTTAAAATGAACAAAAACTATATTAAATCCATTGTTAATTTTTTCTTTATTTCAACAGATTAAATTTTTAAGAAATCAGTATATTACATTAGCTGAGCTATGTAAAATTGTCTATGCAGTTATTTAACTAAACTAATGAATGTTCCATATCATCAACAAATTTTAATATATAATCTATAATAAATATATATATTTAAATTTAATTTTTTATAAATTTAAGTACTCATTTACATTATAGTTTAGGTTTAGCTATTATTTGTGATAATATATTATTAATGATATTGTATTAATTACTAATTAAACTCATACCATGTATCCAAACAAACGGTTATTACATTACATAATGTATAAGAAACAATTCAACAATTGAAATAATTATATTATAATTTAATAAATAATATATATTATTATTGGATGACTTGAATTTAAATTACTTATTTGTTAAATACATCGGTAAATTTTTAATGAATGAAGTCTAATGAACAGCATTTGAAAGAACTGTGTTAAATAAACTCCATAAACTTATAACTGGATTCCCTAAGTAAGTTTGTTAAAATAAAATAATAAATCATTCCATCAATATCTGATCGTTTCGATTTAGTTTTCATATTTTAATAATAATATTTTCAATAATGATTTTAAAATTAATGTCATAAATAAAAATTTGTAAAATTACAAAGATACTTTATAACTTACTTATATATTTCCTAATTTTTTACCTACAATATTATATAATAAAAAATGAATAAAATTACAATATTTCTTGTTACAATACATTCTTTCATATAAATTACATAGTAAGAAGGTACTATAATGTATAATTCGGCATTTAAAATTTAGTCATCTCTAATTTTTTATAGTAATCAAATTTTATATTTGTGATATATTAAATAATTAATTTATTTTTTCTACAAACTCCTAAAGTTAATTTAAAATGAATAATAACAAAATGCTTTTACTGTATAAATATATTTCTGTTACCGCAATGAGAGTAAGCATATAATAAAAATGTGATATTACTGTAATGGATTTAAAACATTGTAGGATAGCGGTATATGCACATTTCGTCTATTTTTTAAGTTAATTATTTGATTTTTAAATATTTAGATGATAAAAATTTCTATACTTACCAGCCCGTTGCATTTTTGGGCTAAGCATGATTTAATTTTTTTAATTTTAATTCGCCGCTATATAAATTAATTTATACTAAATTTGACAGTTCTTTATAATGTATTTAATCATAGGGCAATAATTATATTATATTCTGATGGCTAATTTCTTTTGCAATAAATATATGACGAAATTGATCAATCTTCAATCAATCTTATGATTATACTGAGGAGCTAAAAACATGTTAAAACGAAAAATATTTTGTAAAAACATATAATAGATAGAAAAATTTTGCATTTCAGAATTTTCTCTAATTAATATAAATATTCGTAGGCAGAATTGCTTTACTGTTCCATTCGATTTATTAATAAGAAACGTTTAAATAAGACTTCAAGTCATAAAGTTATTAAATGATTTTTACATAATTATTCCACAATTAAACAAGTTATTTTTTCAGTAGTTCTGTATGCAATTTTAATATATAATTATGCTCATCTTTATGGTATTAGACGTATACAATTTTTCTACATGCCCAATAAAAATTTTAATATTTATTTCTTATCATTTTGCATAACATAATCTGAATAACATTAGAGAATCATTCAACAAAATTCCATAATTTAGTTCTATTAATTTCTTCTTTATTATTATTGATCTACTATCAATATATATTGAATCGAAGATAGAACCATCATTTTCGGCTATTAGAAATTCATATTTACTTTTGATATAATTAATAGCTCAATTCAAATACTTACTTAAATTATTAACTAAGAATTGGTATAAATTGTTGAAAAAAAAAATATTAAAATATATCATAAAAATAATAATCTATAAGTTAAATATTAAAAAATAAATATTGAATTTAAATATTTATTCTTTCATCTTATTTAAAATGATTCATAAATATGATATGTGTTTATTGCCAAATATAATATTGATCAAAATTATTGGTTACATTCATTTAATTAAAACTATTATAGAGCTCATTTAATAAAGTGTATTTTAATGTAAAAAAAAAAAATAATATTCTGAAAACATTTTATAAACTAATAATAAAAATGTTATCAATACGTCTGTGGATATGGAAATGAAATGGTTAACTATACGATAGTATGACTTTAATATTTATTAAGCATGACTTTTGTTTGATATAAATGTTGAATTGATAAAAATAGACAGTGTGTAATAATTTTCATATAAAAATTAAGTAATAATAAATAGTAGTTAAAAGTAGCAGTTATATATTGTTTAAATAGTTCAAATATGTAAGTCACAACTGATAATATTTTTATGTTGATATTTTCTGAAATTGTAAAAAAATTTATAATAAAATAAAATATTTCATAGATTGAATTATTTATTCATACAATTATCGTTTGTTAAAACTTACTAATAAATTTTCTTATTCCTTCAATTAGTAATAAATATTTTATATTTTCTAAATCACATAAATGTTATATCATATTCGTAATTATTATTATAAATTATACAATGTCCATAAGATTTAGAAAAGTATAAATACATAACAATAATTGCTAGAGAGCAATATTTTCTAAATAGTTTATCGTTAGCAAAATGAATTTTATTCTAATCAAAATGTTTAATCGATTAAACTTTATCTAACATATTAAAAATTAATAAAGCAGTAAATATTCTCTTATTAAATAAAAACAAAGTGATTCAAATAATGAAATTCATACGAATAATTTAATTCACCATTAATCTAAGTGTACCAGCATAGGTTAATACTGTAATATAAATTATATTTGATTATACAATATTTATGATACAATTATCATTAATTGTTTCAGGTGTGAAAACTTGTAGGCCTAAATTTTTATGAAAAATATTTCCTCCTTTTACACTTTAAAGAATGCAGGACCTTAATATATGATTCAAAAACTTTAGAAAAGAGTGCTGTTGCCGTTTACATGAAGAATATCATTAAATATTTGTAATCCGTAAGTAACTTAACGGGAATAATACAATAATTCATATATCAATTTTCAATGATTTTATCTATAAAAATAATATAAAAATATGTATAGATAAGAGGATCATTATGACAACTTTAAGAACAATGAAGGATATTAAATATATTTTTGTAACTCATGTAAACAAATTTAAATATTAATTATGTCAATTTAAAGGTGAAAAGCATATTATAAACCAAAACGTAAATGTAGAAATTAAATTAAAATTCTTTTTTGTTAATAAATCTTGATTATAAATATCGAATTTAAATAAAGAATTTATACTAATTAAAACATATGTAAATGATATTCACGAAATAACATGACGCATTTAGAAGAAAATACTGAATACAATAAGAAATACATATTTGTTTATTTATCATTACTTTACATATTTCGATTATATATTAAACTAATATCATTGTTTAGATAATTAATATGAACAGTCTTTTAACATACAAATCTCTTAAAGTAGATGAATTTTACATTAGAATACATTTAGCATAAATGAATTTACGATTTAAAAAAGTTTCATATTTATGTTTATGACTAATAATGTGAATAAATATTATTGATTAAAATTAATAATGAAGTGAAGTTACATTTCAGTATATCATAAATTTCATAAATATTTGTTTCATATATATATATATATATATTACATATAATTGATGTTAAAGTAATGTATTAAATTTTAAATAAATATAATTATTATATATCTAGTATTAAAATTTTCTCATAAAAATATATAAATAGAAACAGCTATTAAAAATATGATACATATCAATAAGAAATATTAGTGATTTTACTTACAAAGCTTATAATCCTATCATTCAAAAGAATACAAAAAAAGTAAATGAAATTTGACAATATAAATAATATTTTAATTAATTTCAAATATTAATATTGTATAATATGTATCGTGTAAATAGATATTTTAAACAAAATATTGGTACGAAAATTGTAAGTTTTTAAATCATTAGATTACGGATTTATTATTAATAAAATTTCTCTTTAATTGGACGCAAATTTAAATTATGTAAAAATCGTGTGTGAAAAAGCATAATTCATTGGATTATTTGGAATTGTTTATATATAACACATCATATATTAAGAGCACAGGAAATTCTCACTAATTATATATTTAGCAATAGTAATTTTAACAGCTGATAAATGAAAACATTTTAATAATTAACAAAAATAAAGGGCATAATTTATATAAATTATATTTTTTTCTGAAATCGAACTCAGAAATAATTATATTTTTATGACTTTTAAACATTACACTATGTTTTACAACATAAATCTTGTTTCGTAATTATTTATCCCTTTAGTAAGGAGTAAGATAATCTTTTAGATAAGTAGAAAACATGTACTATATAATGATAATAACGAATTGGATTTTCAGTGACGATACGCGCGTGCGTTTACAATAGACACCTGTTAACGATGACCTTTAAAGTCTAGAAGTATGTGTACACACACACACACACACACACACACACACACATATATATATATATATATAATGATGTATATATTAATGTATGTATATGGTGCATATGTAAACTGATGATCTATGTAAATAAATATATATAGGTATCATAAGTTTACGGCATGCATGTGATACTGAAGAAAATAAAAGATAATATTTTTTGTACGTACCTGTATAAGAACGA